GAGCTAAGACACCCCAAAACTCTTCGGCGTGAGATCCAAAATGGATCGGACGGTGGAGGGCGGGGGGTGTTCGTTGCTTGAAGTGGATCAGTAAAACATAGAGCCATCAACGCAAAGCTTATCACTCACGTCGAGCAAGCTGAACGACCAGACCAACCACGCAAAAACTGCGGAGCTAGATGTGCGGCACGCACAATGCATTGTTTTCGATTGGAGAGAGGCGAGCATAAAGCAGTAAGGAATTGTTGGTCAAACTTTCGGCAGATAGGTCTACTCGGGAGCGTAAGTGGGGTAGCAACCCATGGTGGAGCGTACATGAGAAGCTGGACGTTGGTGTACGCCCCATCCCGGCGTGTGAGTAGGATCTTAGGCTATGCAAGTCGTCCCTGAACTTATTGTGGTGAAAATGACCTCCCAGGAGGAAAGTAGCCTGTACCGCGGGACTTCGGAGATGATAAATTGGGTGGTCGGGGGACGTCTGGGTGCTTACTACGCAGAGCGCCAGGCACAAGACTGGGGTACTTGTGCCAGGATGTGTGAACTTGGATCAGGATGTGTGAACTTTGATCTAGACTACGAGCCTATGTTGGAGGCGCTATTTAGCGTCGGTGAGCCGGCAAAAGAACTGAAAGGAACCACAACCCCCGCCGGACACTCGGATTGGGAAGGCCGAGTATTCCGTATACCTTCCTGAAAAAACACGAAAAACAAGTGGCCACGGTCCAGTTGCCGTAGAGATCATGAGGATGGTGAAGAAGCTTGGAGGATGGAAGCAGAAACTGTGGAAGGGAGACAAGTTGGAGCTGCTGCTGTTTGGGATTCCAAGGGACATGACGAGGATAGAGTTCAAGAACTGTTGTGACAGGGAGGGACTGCACTGCCTAGCACGGGGACAAGTAGGCAGAGAACATGAACACTTCCGGGTGAAATTGACCAAAGGAGACAGCCAAGAGTGCTTGGGGGTTGATATCGAGAAGCTGTCGAACTACGTAAGGAAGTTTGGATGGAGGGTTTGCATCGCAAACATGATAGAAACAGAGCAGGTAAGGAGACAAGAGGCGAGGACGACCGAGGCGAAGAAAGAACCGAGCGGGGGAGGCGAGCAGACAAGTCAGAACAACGCCGAGAAGGAGCGGAAGGCGAACGATAGAGCGCGCACAATCTCCAATAGGGAAAAGCTCAAGCTGAGAGTCGGGTCGTGAAACGTGTGCGGGTTCGCAAGGAGTGAGCGCAAGCGGTTGGAAATAGTGGACCAAGTAGAACAAAGCGATCTAGATGTAGTGGGGATCCAAGAGACGTGGGAATTGAAGGATGGGGACGTGGTAAGCAAACTAGGGAAATACCGGTGGGTAGGGAAGGCAAGAAAGGGCTTAGACCCGAAGAAAAGGGGGGAGGGGGGAGTCGGATTCCTGGTCAAGGAACACTTGTTTGACGTGGTGGAAGTAGTGGTGAAAACGGAGTTCGAGGAAAGCCTATGGCTTAAGATACCTGGGGAGCGGGGTGAGAAAGATTTGTTTCTAGGGAACGTATACGTCCCACCGTCGTCGAAGAAAGTCGCAAGCAAGGCGCAGGAGAACTTTGGACAAATTGGGGAAGATGTCCAGAGGTTCAGTAGGAAGGGAGAAGTTGTCATGGTGGGCGATTTCAACTCCAGAGTAGGGAAAGCTTCCAGTAGAGGACAGGCGATCGGGCAGCACGGAGAAGACAAAGTGAATGACAACGGAGTGAGGATGCTTGAATTCTTGGGAAGCAACGAACTGATGGTGTTGAACGGTAGGAGGGAATGCGATAAGCCGGAGTTCACAAGGCAACGGGCAGTTTGCAATGAATACTCAATCCTCGACTACATCCTGGTAGATAGGGGGAGCACGCAGATCCCAGAGCTGCACGTAAGTGCGATAGATATAGGTTCGACCGACCACTTCCTCATATGGGCAAACATCGACCGATCTAGAAAGATGGAGAGTAAGAAACAGAGGAAAGTGTTCCGGTGGAAGGTAGAGCGTTTGGGAGACGATGGGACACGGGATGAATTCCAGAAGGGGCTGGCTGGTAGTGTAGAATCCTTCAGGAAACTGCTGAGAAGCGTCGAAGACGGACAGGTAGACGTACAAGCAGCAGGGGACAGGGTGATTGAAGGGTGGGAGTCCATCGTGAACGCAACGGCAGAGAGAGTAGTGGGAACGAAGGTGGTACGATGTGGGGTATCGGTTAAGTGGTGGGATGACGAGCTGAAAGAAGAAATAGGGGAACGTAGAGAAGTCTTCAAGCAGTACCTGAGTGAGGCGTCTGAGGAGAGTTGGGAAAAGTACAGGGCCAAGAGAAAACAGGTGAAGGGACTAGTGAAAAAGAAGAAAAAGTGTATTTGGGACGAAGTAGTGCAGAAGGCCAACGGAGGCCTGGAGGGAAACGTCAAGCAGATGTGGGAAGGGATTAGTGGAATGGTAAAAAAGACCGCGCAAGGGGGGGATACAGGGGTAGCAACTTTGCGAGGTGTGAACGGTGGATTAGTCAGCAGTGGGAAGGGAAAAAGGGAAGTTCTAGCAGGACACTACAAGAGACTTGGAGTGCCCTCGGAGAATGAAGCTTTTGACCAAGTGTTTAAGAAGGAGGTGGACGCATGGGCCCAAAAAGAAGAAGAGACATCGAAGGCAGACGTTGGGAACGTAGAACTAGAAAAGGAGTTCACTGAGGACGAGGTTGAGGCGTGTGTGAACAAGCTGAAGTGCCACAAAGCAGCAGGAGCGGATGGGATAGTCAACGAGTTCATGAAGTTTGGGGGGAAGGGGATGATCCAGCTGATGGTACTGCTATACAATTGGGTGTGGAAAAACGAGTATACGCCAAGTAGATGGAGGGAAGGAGTGGTTGTGAACTTGTTTAAGAAAGGAGACAAGACTGACCCAGGAAACTACAGGGGGATCACACTGTTGAACACAGTAGGAAAAGTGTTCTGTAAGCTGCTGAACGATAGGATAGTGGGAGTATTGGAGAAGGAACATAGCATTAGTGAGGGCCAGGCAGGTTTCCGCAAGAAGAGGGGGTGCGTAGACCACGTGTTCACGGTAGGGAGAATCATCCAAGGTAGAAAGAGGGCGGGAAAGCCGACGTACTGCTTCTTCCTGGACGTGAAAAAGGCATACGACACCGTGTGGAGAAATGGGTTGTGGAAACAACTGTCCAAATACGGGATCAAGGGGAAAATGTGGAGAGTGCTGAAGAAGATGACAGAGTGTACGAAAAGCGCGGTCATGCTAGACGGAGAACTGTCAAAATTCTTCGACATTGAGCAGGGGGTCCCACAAGGTTGCACGCTGTCCCCAACATTGTTCCAGGTGTTCATCAACGATCTGTTGGAAGTCGTAGAGGCAGTCCGGAAGGGAGTAAAAGTAGGGGACACGGAAACGTCGGTTTCAGGAATGCTGTTTGCGGATGATTTTGTCGGTATGTCGGACACCCCTGAGGGACTGCAACTGCAAATTGACGCGGCGAAGAAGTTTACTGATAAGTGGAGATTGTCTGCCAACGTTCAGAAGAGTGCCGTCATGGTATGCAACGAGAACAAGGAGGAACCAGTAGAACATAGATGGAAGTGGGGGATCGAGGAGATTGCAGTAGTGGACCAGTACACATACCTCGGAGTAGAGATCGCAAAAGACTGCTCGTGGAATGCACACATGTCCAAGGTAGCGGAAAAGGGCAAAGCACGAGCAGGGAAGCTGCACCCAATACTCGCAAACCGGCACCTCGATACACGCATCAAATTGACGGTTTTGAAGAGCGTAATCGTACCGCCGCTAGAGTACGCCGGAGAAGTATGGGAAGGAAATAAGAAGGTAGTGAAAGAACTCGAGGCGGCGCAGATGAAAGCAGCGAAAACCATCCTAGGATGCTCCAGGCGCACAAGTAATGCAGCCGTGAGGGCAGAATTGGGGATCCAATCCCTACAGTCGGGAAGAGACGAAAGGAAGCTGACATGGCAGTATCGCATGTGCGGGATGGGAGAGGATAGGTGGCCGAGAATTGTATGGGAGGCGAAGTGGGCAAACAAAACGAGGCTTTAGGCAACCCACGGAATGGGTCAAGGTTGTAGAGGACGTACGGAAGGAGCTCG